CGATGGATGTTCGTCACCGACCACCTATCTTCGGGAAAGTCGAAGCTCTTTGATGCCTGCATCGACGCAGCAATACTGATGGTTGAACCCATTCAGGACCTGATCGATAGAGGTCTGATGACAAGACGGGCACCTGTTATCGTGTAAGTCGGTTCTTTTCTTCTCTTTTTTGCCAAAGCTGACTTTTGTCTTAGGTCATGGCTGTTTGCCTCCTCGCTCGTCCTCGGTGTCGGTCTCATTGGCGGGTTTGGTCGCATCATCGAGAAGTACTGCCGCGCTGCCATTACCGCTCTCGAATACTTTGCGCAAACCGACACCCACGCGGTTCAATACTCGCTCATTGCCAAGTCATTACTCAGCACAGCACTAGAATACCTGGAAAAGAAGGAGATACAGGAGCGGGCACGCAGGACAGAGAGCTCGTCACAGCTGTTTGGACTCATACCGCGAACTCCTCGGGGAAGCGATGGCGGTCTTGACGGGCCACAATCCAAAACAAACCCAGCTGCAGGACCGGGAGAAAGCAGCAGCAAGCCAGACAAGCCCCATCCATCCCAAGACGATGCGGTGATGCAACGCTTTGGCTTCGACTTTGAGTCTACGTTTTTTGGGATGACAGGAACACCTGAGTTTTCTGTCTTTAGCGGCTTTGAAGAAAATGCCGACCAAACCTTTGGGGCCCTGAACCTGTTCCCGCTTCTTGATGGGGATGGGCATATCGACTTGGCCAGCTACTTTTGAGATTTTGCCTACTAAGACTACGCTTAATGACCCTCTCCGGCTCCGAACAGAAACGGGCAAGGATAAACCTCCCAGGCTCCACGGCGGCTCACCGAGAACCAGCCGCTCCCCCCCATTTTCCAAGATCCGGGTGTCGGAGACATACGATCGGTTAATCTGCCGGTATATTGTCGCATTGACGCAACGTCTTTGGATTGGACGCCTGCGCGCCTCTGCGGCTGGTATTACAGCGGCCAAGCATTGGCGGCTAATCCTTTCAGGTCGGATGTGTCTTTACAGGAGGTATCACCAACTTCATCCGATGATGCTGGTGACACCAAGTACTTGTGGCGACGTCTGGCTTGGGAATGCAGCTGTGGCACGCCTGCTGTTCCAAGACTCCTGTATGTTCACCTGTCAATCACGGACCAGCGTGCATTGGGGTTCTCGCTGGCTATGAGTAGAAGAGCCTGGACATTCCGGATTGACAAGGCCTTGGGACACTTGGCGGTGGCCTTTCCACTGGCAACTCCCAAGGACGAGGTAATATATATGCCGCCTTGGCCGGTATGTGAGCTCCGACGACACGGCACACACAGATCGTTTCGAGTTGCCGGCCGTGGCAGGTTTCTCAAAAGTTTTGACAGCATCTGTGGGATCAAGGCATCCGAAGTTGACGTTTTCCCAGCGCAGGGCAGTCTGAACCATGACTCTCGGGCTGATATCGGGTTACAGTACTACATCTGGTGTGTCTGGCTCGTCACGAATCCGGTCACAATGATCGGTTTCGAGGAAACCCTGCTCTGTTGGCTGGATATGCTTGGTTCTGAACATGCCGAGAGTTGTGATCAAGACTGAGCAATCGGGTTCAGTTTTGTCACAGTGTTGCTTTGTAGATTCTTGATGAGGTGCCAAGTGGTTCCGGCGTCACTGACGGGAGGAATCTTGCATGAGGGAGATCACCATTTTGCCTTGTCCCGTTGCCGGCAACCCTTGCCCGCAGATCCTGTCAAGGGCAGCCCTCAACTCTCTCTCAGACACAGGCCTGTGAGTGTCATTTACCGTCAGTTTCTTTCCAGAGTTTTATTTCTGGTCAAGACACGGCAAGTCTCAGATCAAGCACCGCTCGCCGCTCGACATGCCCCTCACATGATGATGGTGACCCCACGGTGTTTCTCACGAGCTACCCTGGTATTGCTGTCGGTTATCCTGAGTCTCCTGCTGTTTACCGCCCTCCGAGTTCACAATGGAATCCCGCCAACCGTCTCCATCACAGCCGCTCAGTCCATGGTTGAGAACCTAGCGGGGGAATGGTTCCATCTCGACCGACAGCACCCAGACAAAGTCTCACCCTTCACCCCGCAAGCGGACAATGCCGCAGAAGAACCAAAACCGCCAGAGCTCCCGGTAGAAGGCAAGTCAAGTCGGAACCTCGCTCGACCTCCGGAGCTGGAATACCTTCGACAGGAAAAGTTTGGCCTCACAGACACAATCCTCTACACCCAGCAATGCATCAAACCCGTTTACGACAAGACCGTCGATCGACATCTTGTCTCTAACATCACCATCTCTTTCACCTCACACAAATCAACCATCGGCCTCACCCTCAGCGACGAAAACCTCTCCCTCCCACCGTG